GTGATTTGCCTGTGACTCACTCACGCCGGGAGAGAAGGAGGGGCAGAGAGAGAGAGAGAGAGAGAGAGAGAGAGAGAGAGAGAGAGAGAGAGAGAGAGAGAGAGAGAGAGAGAGAGAGAGAGAGAGAGAGAGAGAGAGAGAGAGAGTGTGTGGCACCACAACAATGGTTTCCTCTCTGCTAGTCAGGCTCTAACTGACCTTCGCTCAAAATTATTACCCAACTCTCTCTTTTTTACCCGCTTGTATTCTTGTCTCTCTTCATTGTTGGTCGTGTGTGTGTGTACTCACCTATATGTACTCACCTATATGTGCTTGTGTCGTTGTGTCCCATTTGTGTGTGTGTGTGTGTGTGTGTGTGTGTGTGTGTGTGTGTGTGTGTGTGTGTGTGTGTGTGTGTGTGTGTGTGTGTGTGTGTTTACAAGTTGAGGCTTCCACCTGCGGCCTCCTCGTTTCATTTCTCCTTATCAGGAATAGTCTAACCAGCTCGACATCTGTTTCCCCAAAACATATTATAATCATATCCCCTCTGGCCCTCCACTCTTATAATAGCGTTAGACCGAGTTCTCTCGACCTGTCTTCAGAGTTTAGAACACTTACTCCTAACACCAGTTTTGTGTTAGAAGTAAGAGAGTGTGTGTGTAGAACTCCTGCTTAGGTTACTGTATTCCTCCCGTGTGTTCTCCCAGTTTGGACAATGTTGTCATTATATCTTGTTCGTGTACACCTTCATTGTTGTGAACACCTGCTGTTGATGTACACCTGCTCTGGTGTTGTGTCCACCTCAAAATGACTATTTTTGTCTTTTCTTGTTCTTGTAACACCGATTCTCTATTATGTTTAAGTGCCCTTTTTGGCCATTTTCTTTGGAGGAGACGGTAGAGTGAAGGTCTCGCTTCATGTAGGTCAGCGTTCAATCCCCGACCGTCCATGTTGTCGGGCACCATTCCTTCCTTCCGTCCCATCCCAAAATCTTATCCTGACCCTTATCCAGTGATATATAGTCGTAATGGCTTGGCGCTTTCTCCTGCCTACCTTGCCTACTCCCCATTGTGTGTTACATTGATGGACATTGAACACAGGTTGCTATTTCCGCCCAATTCTTCAGCTGGTTTACCTCCAGCTGTGTGTTTACTCAGTCCACGCCCTTCTCACCAGCTTTGCGGCGTCTGTAAACAATGACATGCATAGGTTTGCTTCCACGGCGGTCATTCACATAGAGCAGGAACAGCTGGGAGTGAAAGACTGAGCTCTGAGGGGGAAACCTCTCACGATTTCACTCCTGTATGAGTACTTTCCATCTCATCCGGCCCTCTGTCTCTCTCTTCCACGCACTCATGCACTCATTCATACACACACACTCACACAGACACACTCACACAGACACACTCACACAGACACGCTCCTTCCCTTTCTGTACACTATTCATTATCCAGGAACTAAAGTTACTGCCCATTCACGTTAATTCCTAGTCACCGCAGTCAATAGACAGCCACAATCGACTTGAGAATGGTCCAGGACGGACCGAAACGTCGTCGTCCCTTCGCCTTCTAGTGTGTGGTCTGGTTATCCATGCTGTAGTCCAACTCCAGTTACTTCAATCACAATCCATCTACAGCAATCAACGTCTATATCCAACCCAGTCACACCTCTCACCTTTCAATGACCCTATTTAACAATCAGTCAACCCCAATTAACAACAACTCGCTCAACAATCATTTGTATTGTATTGCAACAATCAATTACTCCAATTAACATTCAAGCAGGCCAGTTAATTGTCAGCTTCTCTGATCAACACTTCTGGCCACACCCAGTCTGCGGCCAATCAGACTCGCACCAGCTTGAAGCAGTTGCTACACCGCACAATGATTACGTGCGGCCTTAACCTATATTGTTAGGCGCTGGTGTTTCAAGACACGAGTGTTCCTTCCTGGACGGTGGAAGGTGTGTTTCAAGACACAACTGCTCATTTCTGAACAATAGTCAAGGTGTTCGTGACGCGAATGCTGCTGCCTGAGCAACGGGAGTTGTTCAGGACGCTATTGTGCTACGTGGGAAGGTGGCAAGGGGTGGCCCTCACTCGAGGATTGGACGCCTCGCATGCAACAGGTGTGTAGCCTGTTCTTTGGTGATGACTTTGGTGATAACTGTGGTGAATGGAAGTAATCACACTCTCTCGTACACAAACTACGAAAATATCGTTGAAAACACATTGAACAGTACTGCATAAAGTGTACATTCTCTCTCTTCCTCTTCCCCCATTCGGGTTCTGAGAGTGGAAAGTAATCGTGTAAATATTAGTCTTGGTCGCAACGGGCCGGGAAAGGACCGCCTGAGCAGGACAGAAAGGGACCAGTGAATGCAAGAGTTTTTATGGTCCGGATCGGGAACTTTGTACCGGGAGCCGCCACCTGCACACGTCCATACCGGGAGCAGCCACCCGCACACGTCCGTACCGGGAGCAGCCACCCGCACACGTCCGTACCGGGAGCAGCCACCCGCACACGTGCGTACCGGGAGCAGCCACCCGCACACGTCCGTACCGGGAGCAGCCACCCGCACACGTCCGTACCGGGAGCAGCCACCCGCACACGTCCGTACCGGGAGCAGCCACCCGCACACGTCCGTACCGGGAGCAGCCACCCGCACACGTCCGTACCGGGAGCAGCCACCCGCACACGTCCGTACCGGGAGCAGCCACAACCCCCACACGTCCGTACCGGGAGCAGCCACCCCCCCCCCCCCCCCCCACACGTCCGTACCGGGAGCAGCCACCTCCCACACGTCCGTACCGGGAGCAGCCACCCGCACACGTCCGTACCGGGAGCAGCCACACGCACACATCCGTACCGGGAGCAGCCACCCGCACACGTCCGTACCGGGAGCAGCCACACGCACACATCCGTACCGGGAGCAGCCACCCCCCACACGTCCGTACCGGGAGCAGCCACCCACACCCTTCACTTTCTCATCTCCCAGAGAGAGAGAAACGCGTTGCTAAGACACTCACGGATATGTTCAACACTGAAATAAACCGGGCAATCTGCCGCTTTGGAGAGGTCGTAGTTGTTTAAAGTCTTCTTTTTGACGCCTTAAACCCATCCCACGAGGACACAATAGCTCCAGCAGCTGGAGCTTTCGTGGTAACGAACTAGCCACAAAAATTCAACTGAGTTTGGAGTATTTGATTATGCTATTTTGATGTCATAGCAACTTCAGTATTTTTACATTTATGTGCAAGAACTATCCAAAAGTTCTTATATCACATATCCGTGCATAATGATGGTAGGTGAGAATGATTCCGCAGGCAGAGTTGCAGATTGGTCAGCAGTACTCTGCAGCGAGTGCGTCCACTCGCAGCGACATGGTGAATAAACTGACTGGAGTTCATCTCTCCAAATACTGTTAAAGATGGGAGCCAAGTGGCTCCCTCCCTTCTCTAGGGCTCGAACCCGGGCCAAACCTCTGGCGAGATACGGACACTATATATTTCCCTCACCTCAAGCTCCATGTAGAAACGCAGGCGATGAGTCACAATAACGTGGCTAAATTATGTTGACCAGATCACACACTGGTCTGGACGGACCGAAACGTCGTCGTCCCTTCACCTTCTAGTGTGTGGTCTGGTCTCCATGTAGAAAACCAAAGGTTATAATAGATATCTTCAAGAGCGTATATACAACAAGGAGTAATGTTTAACCGAACCATCGACAGTCAATATGAGAAGGAATCCACACGAAATAGATACCTTTAGGGTATTTCAACTGCGGCCAGTCCTCATAAACACCGGCTAAATGCTCGTTAAACTACTATTCCTCTGCTAATGCATAAAAAGCAGTTTATAAGTTACTCAGTTGATAATGAACGAATTTTTCTGGAAATAGTGTTTCGCTCTCTTCCTTAATTGTTGCACCTCATCCTGTTTATTGTGCACCTCATACTCATCCTGTGAGCGGTAGCGCAAAAAAGATTACAGAGGGCACCAAAGATCTTTATCAGACCTCAATGGCTCTCTTCCTGTGTTCGAGTCTCCTCTCTCTTTAACTGTTGCCCCCACGTCTTGCAATACAAATAATTGCCAAAAAAATAACGTATCCTAGGTCTAACTATACACAAAACATATGCATTAATATTAGTTATTATTTAATTTAAAATATTATTTTGGTTCGAGTACGATAAAATTAACAAATGCGTGATGACCAGACCACACACTAGAAGGTGAAGAGGCGACGACGTTTCGGTCCGTCCTGGACCATTCTCAATCGACCTGAGAATGGTCCAGGACGAACCGAAACGTCGTCGTCCCTTCACCTTCTAGTGTGTGGTCTGGTCAACATAATTTAGCCACGTTATTGTGACTCCTCGCCTGCAGTGGTTTAGCACATTGTGCTCTGTCCTGGCATCACCGAGAGATGGTGTTTGTAGCACCTGAACGGTAATTAAAAATGTATATTGTGACTGGCAGTCTGGCTAGACGGCTGCTTAACCTTACACGAGATATCTAGAGAGTGATGCTGTTAACAACGCTACTGCTGGAAGACCCTCTGGGAGGCTCTTGTACTACTATACTTACATTACAGCTACGTCCAAAATAAAGTTTGTGGTCAGCCTGGGTAGAGAGAGCCACTCAAGGAATCGAGAAGCAGGGAATTTTTTTTAAATTTTGCACCGAGGGGCGAGTTTATTGGGCAGCGCCACTCATCTTGTGAGTGGACATACCGCCATAGCAGCATGTACAACACTCCCCAATAGGAAGAAAACCCGCTGGGTTGTTCAACCTGTGAGAAGCAGGGAAGTACCCAACGCTCCGTCCACTGACACAAATGGTCATTAATGCGACCCTTGCCTTCACCCCAACAACACTCTCCTAATATCCATGTCCTTTCACTTGGCGAAGCGCCGTGACTCGTCCAACCCGGTACCTGGCACCCCCTACTTCGCTAAATTGCACCTCGAATGATTTAGTTGCTGTACCAGGGGAGTACACACATACCCGCACTTACCTTGTGTTATGGCGAGGGTGATGGAGGGGATGAAGGGGTGAGTGTAGCTGTGGCGAGGCGATGGGCTTGTGCCTCCACCGAGTCCTGACCAGGTCTGCCTCGCACAGCTCACTCCTGTCGACTGAACAGATAAACTTTGAACTTTCGCGGGCTAGAGGTGGCCATGGAGGCGGGCCGCTCGCCGTAGCCTCTCCAGTTGCCCCGCAGCTCTACGACTTGTTCTATATTGCTTCGTCTGTTCTGTCCGTTCTAAAACTTGTGTTACTCTGAGGCATTACTAATCATTCAGGAAGCCGCTTATGGTTCGTATGCTCCAGAAAGCGCAAGGGCTAGTCCTGAATGGCATAAAAACGAGGTAACCTTTCGATAGTTAGTCGCCCCTTAAGAAGGACGTAGAGTGCATAGCTACATAAGGGCGGTGTTTCCTTCCTCGACGGAGTTAAGTCTAGAAAAAAAAACAGATTTCCTCCCTCTGTTAGAGTATTGCTGAATAAAGACACAGGTAGTCAGCCTTGAAGGAGCGCCTCAAGGCATAAACGGGTCCCACTTGAGGGCCCCGTTCTCCTCGAGCATGAGGAGTGGAAACTTGCCGTCCAGACACTCCCCCCCCCACTCCCCCCCTTGCTCACCTTGGCCTCCGGGCTGCTATGTCACACACTTCGCTACCACTGGGCCATAGAAATACATAAAACTTAAAAAAAAACTTATATAAGACATTGTACTTGAGTGACAAGTCATATCACTTCGAACTTTGTAACTATTTATATATACAACAAATTTCCACCTGGAGAACTGTTAATGGAGCTGTATCTTCACATGAGCTTTCTGCCAGTTGTCATTTGTAGCTGTAACCAATTTTTGTATTTGTACCTGAACGCGCTCTGCTAATATACATTTCTTGATCTGAATCCGAAAGTGCATCTTTGGCTGGTACTCACCTTGTTGTGCTAGCAACCTAGCAGGTTGAGCTTCGGCTCTTTAAGGTGATTCCAGATTGGCTCCAGGGAGTTTGTGTGTGTGTGTGTTGAGACCCAAGCACGTATTGTGCGTTGAGATAAGTCAATAAAGAGCTGCGCTCTTTAGTGCAATACAACGTAGCAATGAAATATAATTATATAAATGCAGGGAATAAATCCCAATAGCGCGGATGAAGAAAAATATGCACTCTTTAGGCTATATAAAATTGTTTATTTAAATACATTCGAATGCGAAAAATAACAATCAATGACGTTCGAATACGAAAAATAACAATCAATGACGTTCGAATGCGAAAACTAACAATCAATGACGTTCGAATACGAAAAATAACAATCAATGATGTTCGAAAGTGAAAAATAACTATCAATGACGTTCGAATACGAAAAATAACAATCAATGACGTTCGAATGCGAAAAATAACAATCAATGACGTTCGAAAGTGAAAAATAACAATCAATGACGTTCGAATGCGAAAAATAACAATCAATGACGTTCGAAAGTGAAAAATAACAATCAATGATGTTCGAATGCGAAAACTAACAATCAATGACGTTCGAATGCGAAAAATAACAATCAATGACGTTCGAATACGAAAAATAACAATCAATGACGTTCGAAAGTGAAAAATAACTATCAATGACGTTCAAGAAGCGTGTAAGTACGTCATGCAAGCTGATGTACTACCAGAAATCTTAGCCAAGTATCCAAAGCTTGCTTACCATAGGCGTAGCCTGAGCTTGACTGAGGCTAGGTGTGGAGCAGGAGTAGCAACTAGATAACTAACTCACCGCAGATGCAGTTCAGACGGGGAGACATCTCCCGTCCACGAGGCTCACCATAGCCCGTGCTTCTTGCCCCGCTCCTGTGCCAGGTAAGTTACGGGCTCACCATAGCCCGTGCTACTTGGAACTTGTTCCGAGTAGCTTAATCTATAACAACAACAGATGCAGTTTGTCTTGTTTAAGCTTAGTTTGTAAATTTAAAGTTTGTAAATTTCTTGAAAATATGTTTTAGAGCAGTAAAATCATTAAATAGTAGTATATTTCAGAGTTCCAAACTTGTAGATGGGAAAATGGTATAGATTTGCACAGTGGAAGAGTTGTTGTAGACTTCTGAGACGTGACTGTGTGCTGTGTCGCGCTGTGGCACGCGACTCTTGGCTGTGTGGCGCTGTGGCACGCGACTCTTGGCTGTGTGGCGCTGTGGCACGCGACTCTTGGCTGTGTGGCGCTGTGGCACGCGACTCTTGGCTGTGTGGCGCTGTGGCACGCGACTCTTGGCTGTGTGGCGCTGTGGCACGCGACTCTTGGCTGTGTGGCGCTGTGACATGTGACTCTTTGCTGTGTGGCGCTGTGGCGCGCGACTCTTGGCGCTGTGACACGCGACTCTTGGCGCTGTGACACGCGACTCTTGGCGCTGTGGCACGCGACTCTTGGCTGTGTGGCGTTGTGAGAGGGAAAGCCCAAGCGTTGCGTCACAAACGGGTCTGGCGCTGGCGTGGTGAGGAGGAGCAGCACGATTCCTGATTTAATGAAGCGATTTCCCAACGGGATTAATGCGGATACAGAATGAAATATAATGTAATAGAAGTAGGATCCCTTGATTTGTTTCAAGCGTAGGTTAGACATATATATGAATGAGATTGGGTGGTTATAAATAGGAGCTGCCTAGTATGATGTTAATGATGATAATAATGGTGTTTGGAAGTAGCTTAATGAGTTTAGTAATTTATTATGCACCCCATACTCATCCCATTGGGTAAGGGTTACAGAGGAACATAATGGGTTCAGAAATTGAACCCCACAGTTCGTTTAGCTAAGCAAGTGATAATTAATCTTGTGGAGCTAGTTAAAAAAATCTTTATAAATACATACATACATTCTGCATATATGCATATATACATATTTATATATATATATATATATATATATATATATATATATATATATATATATATATATATATATATATATATATAACCCACAACACCTGTAGAGTTGCTACACTCCCACAACACTCACGACCAGGGGTGTAAATGCCCCAGTTTCAAGCCTCCCCCCCTTCCCCTGAACATCTGAAGGACTCCAAGCTCTCCCAATAACCACACACACTCTTCCTGACCTGGTAACACTCATTTCTGACCGCAAGGTTCAAATCCTCACGTTTCCGATAAGCTGTAAGTTACATGTTAGAGAAGCCACAAGCCCCTCTACTGCCATCAACCCAGACGTCTCTCCTCTCGTGTCAGAAGGAGAAAGACTCACGGCTGTCCACAGGGCCTCCTGTGTTCATTCTGCTAGGGCCAGCCAGCGTTTGTGAAACAAATAAAAATCCTCAACTCCTTTCAATGTCCGTTACGTTTTCACAGAATATTTTTTTTTAAGGGGGGACATAAATATAGTGTTATTTATGCAGCTTCTCTAGATTATATTTATCTGAGTGTTACCATCTGGCTTGTGGCCTCGATCGGGACAGGAAGTCGATCAATGGGCTGGATTTGTGAAAGTTTCCCCCGGTATTTCTGTCGATTTTTTTTTTTCCATTTTGCTATATGAGAAAAGATGGTTGGGCATACAGGCCCATGTGCTCAGTAGCCCTTACTGGCAGATTTTGGGTGCATGAGGATGTCCTGAAGAACACGAGAGTGGATAAAATCATTGCAAAGCTCCAGGTACCTCATACCAGCGGGTCTGAAGGCCCTAATGACTGGATATCCAGTAATATAGTGCTTGAGATCATGACCCAGTTCCTGTTCAGACTATATATTATGCTACATAGTGTTCAAGAGGGTCGGATTTCATCACCTGCAGTCACCTACTAGTTAAAGACAGCCTATTTGCTCCTAGAGATTATCGATGTGTGTATTTGTGTAGGTGATTAGATATGTATATGTATATATGTATATGTATATATATATGTACATGTATGTATGAGAGTGTGTACATGTATATATAACATTAATAATTTTGTAACTAGCGTCAAAAAATTGTTATTTGCTTAGCTAAACGAACTAGAGGGTTCAGTTCCTGAACCGATTATGTGCCTCTGTATTCCTTTACACCACCGCCCATGGGATGGGTATGGGGTGCATAATAAAGAAAGAAATTGAAGCCAGTTGTTCAACAAAATTTTCGTGGGGGAGAAGACAACAAATCCACAAGGGCCGTGACGAGGATTCGAACCTACGTCCGAGATGTTCTTGTAAGAGAACAAGCCCGACATGACAACCAGCAACAAGTTCCTGGACACCTGACTTGTCAGCGCCTCCCTTCCCCCACCCCTTCTCCCACTCTCCCACCGCCCACTTGAAGGACGATCAACCTCCCTCACCCCTTTCCCTCCCTTGGAGAGGTCTGTCTACCCAAGCGGCTGCACTTTCCTCTGCCCCCGCTCACCTTCCGACGCAGTAAGGGTTAAAGGTCCCGTTCCCTGCCTCTCCACCACACTAACCACTCTACCTATGTTTCCTACCTTATTACTTATTTTTGGCACGTATTTTCCGCCCAACCCTTCCCCCTTTAGGTTAAAATAGCATATATATAGTGTTGATGCCACTAAGAGGCTCCCAGAACTGAAGGACAAGAGCTATATTATATTTATATTTATATAAGCTGTTGTAATTGCTGAAGCAATCTCGGAGAAAATGCTCAGTTTCAGAGCCAGACACTGACTATATATCTTTGGACATTATGATATATTTTTCAACTCTTGTCGCTTTCCCTTCCAGCTGAGATGGTAGCCGACATGGCGGCCATGTTGCACGAATACTGTTATAATAATAATTAATAATAATAATTTTTATTTAGGCAAAGGTACATACATAAAGAGATTTTACAAAGTTTGTTGGCTTTATAGATAGGAGCTAGTACATACAATGCCTAAAGCCACTATTACGCAAAGCGTGTTATATCATTAGTTAGGTGAGAAGGTGGTGGAGGCCAAGACCGTCAGTAGTTTCAAAGCGTTAGATGATAAAGAGTGTTGGGAAGACGGGACACCACGAGCGTAGCTCTCATCCTTTAACTACACTTAGGTAATTACAGTTTGCCTGTAGCTTGACTGGATTTAGTACATTTCTGGGATCTATAAAAGAAAAAGCTAATATTTTCTCAGAGCCAAAATGCCTAAAAATGCTATTTATCCCTCTAGCCAAGGGCGAGGCTATGTCTATATGGTCACCCGTCCAGCTTACTGGCCATATCTAATGTTTTTACTTGAT